CATCAACCCTTTGCATGTGGAAGCAGTTATTACGGACAATGCCGAAAATATCAAGCTTGCCGTAAAAAAGGCTTTTGGCGATTCCAAGCTGCTCACATGCTTTGACCATACCCTGAATCTTGTGCCCAAAGCAGCTTTATTTGGAAAAAAAACAAATGGTACACCCTTTGTTCCCGGAGTGCCGGAACTGATCAAGAAAATGAAGGATATTGTGACATATTCTCATCATAGCAGCAATTTTTCGAATGAACTTAAACGAATTCAAATTTCTCAGTATAACAAGACCGAAGGGACGGTTTTAAGGCTGCTGCAGGATGTAGTAACAAGATGGGGTTCGACCTACATTATGATCGAGCGGTTCTTATCGCTACAAGCTGTGGTAGTGCAAGCAGCAGCAAGTTTCCCAGACTTAGACATGCTCTCTGCTACTGAACTGGCATCTGCACGGGCAATTATGGCTATATTGGCCCCTTTTCATAAAGCTACCTCCGAAATGGGTGCTGAGAAATCTACCACAATCAGCAAAGTTTTGCCTATGGTCTTCAACATAATGAAGGTAATGTGTGCATTTTTATCACCTCTTCTTTTTTTGCTGTTTTCTTTTGCAGTAAAGTATTTGATTGATTGATTTATTTTCAGAAAATTGAATCTGTTGCAATACCCACTGGCAACACAATTGCCGAAGAATTTAAAACATTCATTACTGCAGAAATGGTGCGGCGCTTCGGAGGTGCCGAGCAGAATATTCGGCTGGCGGCGGCAACTATTTTAGACCCGCGATTTATCAAATCTTATTTTCAAAGCCCATCAGCTGTAACAAGGGCTCAGCGGCACATTGAACTGGAGATTGAAAGAGAGATGACATTGGACACGCTTGACGCGAACAATGCAATTATGGACTTGATGGATTCGGGTAAGCGAAGCGAGGGAAGTGCGGAATATAGGCGTAGTAAAACGTGATTTAATTAATTTCGTAATCGTTTACGTTACAGAGGAAACACCTGCCAGGGAAGGCCCAGATGAGTCAGGGGACTTGTGGAGCGCCCACTCAACCCTCGTGGTGAATTCCAAAGAGGCATCATCCTCCGATGACATCCCTGGACGCGCGCGTGCTGAGTTAAGGGGCTACCTGCTGCGCGAAATAGCACCTATCACCACGAATCCCCTTGAATTATGGGAGTCTATCAAGCCTCTCTATCCTTATTTGTACCGCGTTGCCCGGCGGAAACTGGCAGTGATTTCAACGTCAGTACCCTCTGAAAGATTTTTTTCCAAAGCTGGTTTAATCATGGACGACCAGGGCAGTCGGCTCACTGCTAAACACCTGGAGCAAAGGCTGTTCCTCTCTAGTATAGACATCGAATTATGGGAAAAAGCACGCATGTTGCAGTGACTTTAGTGAATTTCTTGGCATAATTTTACCTAATTTTTGTCATTTCAGCACCTCACCGAGGCATTTTATTTTAGGACTTGTTACTTAAATCCATAGGTGAATAAATTCTTATGACAATTCTTCATGTTTAAAATGTTTTAATACTCATTTTATTTTCTATGAACCCTGGATTTAATCTGTCATTGTTCCGTTTTGTTAGTTTTATCACTTACGCGCTTAGTTTATGTCTAGCGCCAAAAAAACGCTTTAAATTTCGATATTCTCACCGATATATCGAGTATCGATACATTTTGTGCGATATATCGATATACGATATATCGCAATTTTCAAATATCGATATTTTACATATCGATATTTTCGTATTCGATACCCATCTCTACCGCCCGCCTCATACCCCTCGCCTGGGGGAAAACATCAGAGCGTCGGCTGCGCGGGGGCTGGGCGTTCCGGTCCGCATGTCGTGTCGCTGGGCAACTTTTACAATGACTTTCAACGTTTTGACCGATTGTTGCGACATTTGTTGGGTGCTGATGATTAAAGAGCGCGTTTTTGATCGTTTTAAATGTATTTGTAAAATCCATTCGTTGGAAGTGAGAGAAATGCCACTGTTAAAAATTTTGTTGTAAATTTACAACACATTTGATGTAACGTTTGATAGCAACAAATGTTGTTAAAAAACAACACATGTTGTAATCCAACAACATTCACCAAATTTTCTGAAACAAATTTTCATTCCAAAACAGTGGTTATTTACTTCCACCTGCACCAAAAAATTGTAATAAAACAAACTTGTTCGTTCTGTAACGCTACATCTTGCTATCAAAATTTACAGCGGTTTTGTTGTGATTTTACAACATGGTGAAACGTTGTTATGGTCCAAACGTTGTTATGGACCACAACGGGCAAAATAGAAGGAATTTTTCCACGTGCCAATAAAAACGAACGATGTTGTTTTTTAACAAACTAGTCATTACAAAGAGTGTGATAATTTGACAATATTTTTTAACAGTGTGTGCAAGCAGGGTTATCTGACGGTGAGTCTCGCATGCTTCTCCGAACATTATGACTGAAATATTGAATGAATTAGCATCAATCTTTCCCTGTACCGACTTTTTCTCTCTGTTTTTATTTCTGCCGTATCCCACGACAGAGTTTCACGTTCAAATGTCGGGCAAAACGTCCGAAAATATGGGGAGCCAAAAATTCCTTAGTGCTAGCAGAAGGTGAGACAAAGTTTATTTCATTTTCCACGAAAGAAGAACGACAAAATGTTGAAGGGGTCAACAACGACAACATCGTCAAATCGGTCTAGTCCAGGAGTACAAAATGACTTGTACAATCAAATTCAGTGCCATATCAGAGTGGTTTGTTAAAGACAAGTTCAGATTTGACAAGGGAGACGATGCATTGTTGTCTGGGCACATAATGACTTTGCAACATAGATAGGGAAAAGAAAAAACATTGGGGAAAAGTCCAAGCTAGCCAGAAATCAGAAGTTAGAAATGCTGAGGTATTTAGATGGGCAGAGTTCTTAGTGAAAGTTGACTTCCACAGTGCTATAACTTCTGTATTTTAGTTCACAGGCGTTATACTCTCCTGACAAAATTTTAAGTGGCGAGTGCAGCTGTCCAGTTGGGAAGTACCACCACGTTGCTGCTCTCCTTCTTTACGGCACATAATAAGTGTTACTGATGTTGCCTGCTCTTGGACTCTGAAAAAGAAAGCTGGACATGAGAATGCGGGACATCCGATTGACTTTGACTACCCCCTACAAGACCCAAGGGCAGGATCTCAGAAAAATAGACAAGTTGTGGGCAGAAACTTTTTGTTTTGGAAAAAGGAAGTGAGAAACTACCGAACTAAGTCCACAAACAATTAGTAATTTGGATTTTCATATCATAGGGCAGGATTTTCAGGATGTTATTGATATATTCATGGCAAACATTATCCTCATGTCAACAAGATTGAAATTCAATAAATGTTGTGGACTTCATTCAGTAATTTAACATATCGGCTTTCAAAAACACATGTTCCCCGGAAGTTACTTTCCTTATTTTATAAAAGATTACCAGCTAGAGAGTCAAGTCATTGTAGGAGACCCTTAATGGGACTTCAAAACTAGTTTTAACAAACTTGGGTTTTTAATTGGGTAATTAAATTCATTATTTACTAATGAATACTTATTACTTCTGCTTTGATGCTTACCTTACTGACTGATGGAACAAAAGGCATTGGATACATTGGATTCATCATTTCCTTGGTCAGCGCCAACATCAGAAACGTGAGATAATTGATCATCATCTGAAATAAAGTTAGAATAATGACACCAATACAAATACAGTACACACTGACAGTATATAAATCAGAATGCCAGTTACTACTTCAAGTATGTAAAGGTAACCTTTCAAGTAGTTTTCACCTTCACAGAAAATCACACAGAGGATCAGGCTCGTCTTCAGAAACTGCGGAACCTAGAAAAACAAAATGAGGCAAAAATAAATCAGTTGATCATGCAAACCCACTTCATACCTTTCTAGGCACTACTTAAACCGCACATTAGTTAATACTTATTTTTTTACCTTCAGGTGAAGAAATTATTTGTTCCACAGGACTGTTTGTCAAAATGTCTGACAAATTGTCACATTCTTCAACATCATCGTCTGAAGCTGAACTCAATCGTCTCTTACGATTCGACATTTTGATTTTTGTTATTGCAGTTCTATTTGGGCAAGGCCTGCGAAACGAAAGTGAAATTACAATATTTGCGCAAATTTTGTACCTCTTGAACCAAACATAAACAGTAGCAGCCGGATGCTCGTGAAACAATGTCAGCGGATTAAAGGTATTCCGGGTAAGACTCATCGAAATAAACAATTCATCATTGAAGCTGTTCCAAATTTTAAACCATTGTATTCTACGACATTAACACATTTCGATAGATCAAAACAAGTGTTTACTTTAAGATTTGTAGTCAGCAACTCTGAGTAGAATGGACAACCTGTCCATCTTAAACACACCACTACCATTTATGTGCTGATGTGTTGTACGGTCAACAACCCCTTAATGAATAACATATGTACAAAGACAATGAAGCAAGAAGCCAGTTCCAGCACCAGTAGCAGGCCCCCTAGGATGACTGACGTGGATACCAACAACAGCCAACCCGAGTTGCAGTTAGCACTGCTGTCGGCTGGAACTGACTTCTTGCAACTTATTTCAAGAATGTTTTACAGCCACACAACGACCTCAACTTGACTAGGGAACTAAACGAAAGGATGTAGGTTACACAAGAACTAGAATGGATACCAAAACAATTTATGGTCAAGTTAAGCAGATGTCGTGATGAGAACAATCACCCAAAAGTTACCTCACATGCGCACAAGTTCATCCAAGAGGATGAGCTTGGCTGCAGATGGTAACGAAATTGGTAAGAGTGAAGTCCAGGGTACAGGTTTCAGCTGGACAGCTCGCGATTGGGCCACGGCGAAGGAGAATGTCCCTGCAATCCGCACACAATATGTGTCCACACACGTTCAAGACGCCAAGGTTGGTGTTGCAAGTACAGACACAGCACTCAAGTGCTGAAATTGATGGTGCGCCAGCCATCGCCTGGGGACCAGCTGGGCCCTGCGCAGCTGGGGGGCACAGCGAATGTTGCGTTCATTGGGTATGGGGCTACCCGACCTGTCCCGCGCCTTGTAAGTGGGGGGCGGCCTCTTCGCCAGCCTGGGCCTCCCATGGCAGTGGAGCATTCACTAAACAAAGACAGTGGAAAAAAAAGTTAGAAATGTGCTAGTGAAATAAGTTTTTCAATTCTGTACAATAATGAATATTTAAAGTGTCAAACAAGAAGACAATGCACAAGTTCAAGCAACTTACAATGTCCTTGAGCATCCAACTGGTCGATGGCTAAGCGCCGATGCTTTCCACGACTTGGCTATTTGGCTAATTTTCTGAGATTAGTAGCCAGATATACTACAAAGCCCCCTGAAACATAGATCAGAGACTAATCAACTGTGGAAGCTTTTTGATCTGGATTAAATGCACAATTTACTACTACAGATAGAGGATCATTCGGGGCTTCAAACTTCACTATGCTTGGTAACAGATCTGTTGAAGATGGTTAGTAAATCAAAGCCAAAAAGCATTTAACAACTAGCTAAATGTACGCCAGACCACGTCTCGCGTAACAGGCTTCGCGATATCTCACGAAACACTGTTGCGCTGCGACGCGCCTGGCGCACATATAGCTAGGCCTGCGGCGCTGACACCCGAGACGAGCTAATAGGATGGTATACGGGAACAGGGCGTTCCGGTACAAAAATTAGACATACTGACAGCATTTGTCGGGGGGACGTATCACTCGAAAATCACGGACATGAAACGTCTGCTGTTCGATCAAGGTTGTCATTGGCTGAGCGATTAGCGAAGCCCATTACAGTGGCCACTCGCATAGCCGCGCCGCACGGGCCGGCGCGGCTCTGCGAGGGACCCCCATCTCCGGTGAATGGCCGGCCGAAGGATGAAGCCACAGTGCTGGAAGTGTTATTGGCTGAGCGATTAGCGAAGCCTATTACTCCGTCTGGTCGGAAAAAAACTTTTTCTGTCAGTCTGTCTGTGTGTCTGTCTGTGTATCTGTC